TGGACCCCAGACCATTTCAGTGTATATTCGGGTTGGAGTTCGGTGTTCGGCGATTTAATGGCGCATTTTGAAAGGCTGCAGGGCAGCCAATCAACAAGCATTTGACTTGTGTGCCCTTAGAAGCCATCACAGCCATGCAGGGCCGGTGCAAGGATTTTTTCCGACCTAGGCAAAAGAAAGATTTGCCACTCCCCTCCCCCCCCCCCACCCGGGACATCGCAATGCCCCACCCATATGATCTGCCATATGAACTAATGCCAGTGCTGCACACAGTGTGTGTTTACATTAAAAAGCCTGCAGGGACAAACTATAGACACCAGATCAACTTTATTAAGCTGCAGTGGTTCTGGGGACTATAGTGTCCATTTAACGTGAGGTAAATTAGAGATTAGTGTCACTAATAATATACTAGATTGCCTACTTACAATCAGATGAGGATGGTGATGGGCTCTGGCTTCAGTCTGGCTCCACTGGTCTGGTGTAGAACAGGATCTCTGGAGGCTGTTTGTAACTGTGGTCACAAAATTCAATGTTCTGGGAGAACAGGAAGTAGCTCCATTTTTTGGGGCCTCTTACATAGCTCAAGGTCTGGGCCCCAGAGCCTGACGGTGAGTATGCCCATAAAGCCCACCCATAAGTCCACCTACATGTTCCACCCATGAGTTCGCTCACAGGGAGTAGAGTGTGTAGGGGATGTGTTATGTGTTACTGTAGAGGAGCTAATGTGTGTGCTTATGGAATGTAGTATATAGGGATACCAGTTTGTGTAGGTGATGCAGTGTGTTTGTGTGTAGTGGAAGCAGTGTGTTTTTGTGTAAGGGACAGAAAGCAGTGAGTGTTTGTGTATAACGGATGTATTGTGTGTTTCTTGTTGTGTGTAAGGGATGCATTGTGTGAATCTGTGTTTGTATGCATAAGGGATGCAAAGTGTGTTTCTGTGTATGTAAGGGATGCAGTGTGTGTGTCTGTAAGGGGTGCGTTGAGTGTGTGTAACTGTATGGAATGTTGTGTATAGGGATACCAGTTTGTGTAGGTGATGTAATGTGTTTGTGTGTAGTGGAAGCAGTGTGTTTTTGTGTAAGGGACAGAAAGTCGTGAGTGTTTGTGTATAACGGATGTATTGTGTGTTTCTTGCTGTGTGTAAGGGATGCATTGTGTGAATCTGTGTTTGTATGCATAAGGGATGCAAAGTGTTTTTCTGTGTGTGTGTAAGAGAAGCAGTGTGTGTTTGCATGTCTGTGTAAGGGATGCATTGTGTGTTTCTGTGTATTTGTGCAAATTATGCATTGTCTTTATGTGTAAGGGTTGCATTGTGTGTTTCTCTGTGTGTAAGGGAAGCATGTTGTGTTTCTGTGTGTATAGGGATGCATTGTGTGTGTGTGTGTGCACGTGGTGTGAAAGATCTCCCTGTCCTGCCCCCTGTCCTATAGAGCTCTCCCTTCCATTCCTTAGAGATCACCCCTGCCCCTAAGTGGTCTCCCCTCTCCCCCCCCACCTCCCTTAGTGGTCTCCTTTTCTCCCCGACTTTCCATTAGTGGTCTCTCCTCTCCCCCCACCCTCCCCTTATGGTCTCTCCACTGTCCCCTTCCTCCTTTAGTGGTCTCTCCCACCCTCGTGTTGTCCTCTTCTTCTCCCCCCCCCCCCCCCCCTCCCTTATAATCTTCTCCCCCCCATAACCTTCTCCCCTCCTCACTCCCTCCCATCTTCCTCCCCCTTATAATCTTCTCTCCCCCATAACCTTCTCCCCCTCCCTCCCATCTTCTCCCCCCCCTCCCTCCCTCCCATCTTCTCCCCCCTCCCTCCATCTTCTCCCCTCCCTCCTGTAATCCACCCCCCCCTCCCTCCCCTTATCCCCCCTCCCTGTAATCTTCTCCCCTATATCTTCTCCCCTCCTCCCTGTAATATTCTCCCCTTATAATCTTCTCCCCCTCCCTCCTTATAATCTTCTTCCCCCCATAACCTTCTCCCCCCATCCATCTCCCCCCCTCCCTCACAATCTTCTCCCCTCCCTCCCTCCTTGTAATCATGTTCTACTCACCTCCCCTGCCCTGTAGCGTGGCCAAGCTCCTCTCCGGTCCGCGACCCGGTGGGACTGACAGGAAGTGCACACTGTGTTGCGGACCGGAAAGGAGCTCGGCCACGCTACAGGGAAGGGGAGGTGAGGCAGCACGGCAGCCGTCAGAGCGCTCTCTATAGAGCCTAGTTCGCCTAGTTCCTTATAGGAAGCGCGGCCCTGCAACCATGCCTATAATAATAATGGCATGGCTGTGATTGGCCAGTGCAGCATGTGACCCAGCCTCTATATATAAGTGTAGGGAGAGGATGCTGCATCTGTGAGGGACAGATTAGGAAAGAATTCTGGTGTTGAATCTGCAAACTACAGCGATTATTTTTGTGGGTGCTATACTACATTTTTGTACCCTGCCGTGAGCCCAGTGCCACAGAGAGTGCAGTGCACTTGCAACTGCATGTGTGCCAGGCGCATTACTTTAATCCTGTTCTGGTAGCTCAGTGGGCAACATCTAGGCATTTTTAAATACTGCAATTTTTTTGGTGCTAAATAGTACATTTGCGTACTGCATTTCTTGCAGTCTAATAAAACCCTTAAATACTACTGTTACATTGTTGGTTTAAAAAATCTAACTTTTTTGTGCTAAATAGTACATTTGCGGCCTGCGTTGCACTTCATATCTGAGAGTCAAATAGAACCGTCAAATACTGTGGTTACATCACACTTTGAAAAATTCACATTTCTTTGGTGCTAAAAAGTAAATTTGTGGCGTGCACTTCATATCTGAGAGTCAAATAGAACCGTCAAATACTGTGGTTACATCACACTTTGAAAAATTCACATTTCGTTGGTGCTAAAAAGTAAATTTGTGGCGTGCACTTCATATCTGAGAGTCAAATAGAACCGTCAAATACTGTGGTTACATTGCACTTTGAAAAATTCTAAAAATTTTTGATGCTAAATAGTACATTTGGTGTGTGCACTTCATATCTGAGAGTCAAATAGAACCATCAAATACTGTGGTTACATCACAGTTTTAAACCTTTAAAAAATTTTGGGTGCTAAATAGTACATTTGGTGTGTACACTTCATATCTGAGAGTCAAATAGAACCGTCAAATACTGTGGTTACATCAAAGTTTTAAACCTTTAAAAAAATTTGGGTGCTAAATAGTACATTTGGTGTGTACACTTCATATCTGAGAGTCAAATAGAACCGTCAAATACTGTGGTTACATCACACTTTGAAAAATTCACATTTCTTTGGTGCTAAAAAGTAAATTTGTGGAGTCCACTTCATATCTGAGAGTCAAATAGAACCGTCAAATACTGTGGTTACATCGCAGTTTTAAAAATTCTAATTTGTTTGGTGCTAAATAGTACATTTGGTGTGTGCACTTCATATCTGAGAGTCAAAAAGAACTGTCAAATACTGTGGTTACATCGCAGTTTTAAACATTAACATTTTTAAGGTGCTAAATAATACATTTGGTGTGTGCACTTCATATCTGAGAGTGAAATAGAACCGTCAAATACTGTGGTTACATCGCAGTCTTAAACATTCAAATTTTTAAGGTGCTAAATAGTACACTTGGGGCCTGCACTTAATATCTGAGAATTAAATAGAACCATCAAATACTGTGGTTACATCGCAGTTTTAAACATTCATATTTTTAAGGTGCTAAATAGTACATTTGGGTCCTGCACTTCATATCTGAGAGTCAAATAGAACCATCAAATACTGTGGTTACATCGCAGTTTTAAACATTCAAATTTTTTGGGTGCTAAATAGTACATTTGGTGTGTGCACTTCATATCTGAGAGTCAAATAGAACCGTCAAATACTGTGGTTACATCACACTTTAAAAAATTCTAATTTTTTTGGGGTGCTAAATAGTACATTTACTGCCTGCGGTGCACTTCATATCTGAGAGTCAATTAGAACCGTCAAATACTGCTGTGACATTGCAGTTTGACTAATTTAAATTTTTTTTACTGCTAAAAAGTACATTTGTGGCGTGCACTTCATATCTGAGAGTCAAATAGAACCGTCAAATACTGTGGTTACATCGCACTTTGAAAAATTATATTTTTTTTGGTGCTAAATAGTACACTTGGGGCCTGCACTTAATATCTGAGAATTAAATAGAACCATCAAATACTGTGGTTACATCGCAGTTTTAAACATTCATATTTTTAAGGTGCTAAATAGTACATTTGGGTCCTGCACTTCATATCTGAGAGTCAAATAGAACCATCAAATACTGTGGTTACATCGCAGTTTTAAACATTCAAATTTTTTGGGTGCTAAATAGTACATTTGGTGTGTGCACTTCATATCTGAGAGTCAAATAGAACCGTCAAATACTGTGGTTACATCACACTTTAAAAAATTCAAATTTTTTGGGTGCTAAATAGTACATTTACTGCCTGCGGTGCACTTCATATCTGAGAGTCAATTAGAACCGTCAAATACTGCTGTGACGTTGCAGTTTGACTAATTTACATTTTTTTACTGCTAAAAAGTACATTTGTGGCGTGCACTTCATATCTGAGAGTCAAATAGAACCGTCAAATACTGTGGTTACATCGCACTTTGAAAAATTATATTTTTTTTGGTGCTAAATAGTTCATTTGGGGCCTGCACTTCATATCTGAGAGTCAAATAGAACCATTAAATACTGTGGTTACATCGCAGTTTCAAACATTCACATTTTTTAGGTTCTAAATAGTACATTTGGGGCCTGCACATCATAAATGAGAGTCAAATAGAACTGTCAAATACTGTGGTTACATTGCAGTTTTAAACATTCAAACATTCAAGTAACAGATGGAGCGATCAAAGGAACCATAACTGATTTAATGAGCCATTCGCAGTTTCACTGTAGCTCCTGTGCGCGTTTTCAGCATTCTCACCCTGCTGCTACTTGCCTGTCTGCACTGCAGTGTAACTTCGGCCTTCCCACTCACCGCCTCATATGCGACGTGCCCACAAGCTGGAGAGACTGTGCGAGCAGCAGCAGGCGATAGTGGAGTTTCAGCTGCAGCAAACACGGGTCAGTCGCTCTGCACCAGACTTGCCCTCCAATAGATCCTCGTTAAAGAATTTAAAGTGTACTCATTCCAATTACAGGGCTTCGAAAGAGTCCTGTATTGTTATTTATCGTCACCTTCTCCCCGCATCGGGAGTGGGTAATTTGCGCGTCTGCTGCCTTCCTTTGATGTGGTAGCCGTTTCTCAGGCTCCCTCTCTGGAATCGAACCCTGATTCACCGTTACCCGTGGTCACCATGGTAGGCGTAGAAAGTACCATAGAAAGTTGATAGGACAGACATCCAAATGCGTAGTTGCTGTCACGGGGATGTGCGATTGGCATGAGGTTATCTAGAGTCACCAAAGTGCCTGCGCAACAACTGACAAGTTGCCCACATTCTAACTTGTGCTGATTACTGGGTGGCCACCCTGCTGGATCCCCGTTACAAGGACAACGTGCCTTCCTTAATTCCCTCACTGGAGCGTGATCAGAAGATGCACAACTACAAGCACATGCTGGTAGACGCGCTGCTAAGGGCATTCCCAACTGACACCGGGAGCTCAGTGGAAGCACAAGGCGAAGGCAGAGGAGGAGGAAGAGGTTGCCAACACAGCTGGGGCACTGCCAGCACCTCACAAGGCAGGGTTAGCATGGCCGAAATGTGGAAAAGCTTTGTCAGCACGCCACAACAACCAACACCACCAGCTGATATGGAACTGCTTAGAAGTTGGCAGCATTTCAGCAACATGGTGGAACAGTACGTGTGCACATGCCTACACGTACTGATTGATGGGTCTGCCCCATTCAACTTCTGGGTCTCCAAATTGGGCACATGGCCTGAGTTTGCCCTTTATGCCTTGGAGGTACTGGCCTGCCCTGCAGCCAGTGTATTGTCTGAACGTGTGTTTAGCACAGCAGGGGGCATTATCACAGACAAGCGCAGCCGCCTGTCCACAGCCAACGTGGATAAGCTTAAGTTTATTAAAATGAACCAGGCATGGATCCCACCAGACTTGCCTGTACCTTGTGCAGAATAGACATTTATACCGGCCTCACCCAGCCATTGTTATAGTCAAGTGCACTTATTCTTTGTTTTCTTTTTTTATATGTCCCAATATTTTGAGGGCTACCTCAATTAAAAAAAAAAACAACAAAAAACAAACAAATAAAAAACAGTTTTGGCTACCTCCTCCACTGCCGCTTCCACCTACACCGCCACGGTCACCGCCTCCTCAACCTCCTACTCCACATCCACCTCGTCCTCCTAGAGCAGGGTGCAAAAGCGGAGCAGCTGTCCCCAAGACAGTATGCCTGCTACTGCCCACCGCACCAAGGGACCGAGCACACCAAAGCCAGCTCCAAGGAGTTCCCTGACGTGGCAGTTCTTCAGACAATGTGCTGACGACAAGACACAAGTGGTGTGCACGCTGTGCAATCAGAGCCTGAAGCAAGGCATTAACGTTCTACACCTGAGCACAACCAGCATGACCAGGCATCTACATTCAAATCACGAGCTGCAGTGGAGTAAGCACCTCAAAAACCAAGAAAGGTCTCAGGCTCCTCCTGCTTTCTCTTCTGCTACTGTCTCAGCCTCTTCCTCCACCTCTGGAGTGACAATGGCACCTGCCACCACGCAAACAGAGGACGTGGCAGCAATGCCACCACATCTGCTACCATCCCCAAGCATCTCCACACTGTCCCATGGAAGCGTCTAGCTGTCCATCTCCCAAACACTGAAGAGAAAGAGGAAGTACCCCCCTACCCACCCGTGATCCCTGGCCCTGAATGCCAGCCTTTGAAATGCTGTCATTCCATCTGGTGGAGACGGACAGTTTTAAAAACCTGATGGCGTTATTGGACTGCAAGAAATGCACCCAATATTTTGGGGGCTACCCTAATTAAAAAAATAAAAAACAGTATTGGCTACCTCCTCCTCTTCCACCGCCGCTTCCCCCTACACCACCACGGTCACCCCCTCCTCAACCAATGGGTCACTTAGTATAAACTATGTACACAATAGCAGAGGCTTGTGAAGGCCTTTTCTCCATCCATCAGGAGTTGAGCTCAGTTTGAACAATGAAAGAGAATACCCTGCACTCCAACCCTCTCTCAAATGGATAATTCTGGTGATTCTCCTGACAGCCATGCTTTAGATTTTAATTTATGTTCTTCCAAAGCTAAAATCAAAGATTCCATCTAGTGCTATTTTATTGCTCAGCTGTATTTTTAATTTTTATATATTTTATGTTATTTTAAGTGATTTCCCTATCCACATTTGTTTGCAGGGCACTTGTCCTACTCTTACTCCCATTTTACTTACTTTTGCAGCCCTCTAGCCCTTTCCAGAACTTTTTTAGAGGCATTTTAGTGCCCAAAAGTTTGCGTCCCATTGACTTCAATGGGGTTCGGGTTCAGGGTCAAGTTCGGGTCAAGTTCGAGCCCAAACTCGAACTTTTTGACAAAGTTCGTCCGAAGATCCGGGTGTCCGCTCAACTCTATATTGTTGCTTCACAAACCACTTATAGAGAGTGTGTACAAAGTTAGGTGTAATCCCAACCAATTTATGAATTTATGGGGTTGAATATAAACATATGTAAGTAAGAGGTGAGTTTTCTAATTTAATGTGGCATGGCCAAGCGTAGTTGTATAGTAAAGGTAGGTTGAATGAGGGCCAGATGCGATTGTACTGCATAGCGGGATAACCCAAATGAGGGCACTGTAATCTGCTATGGACATGGTATAGCCAAGTGAGGGTCAAGTGTACTGGTAAGGCCGTATTAATAGGTGCAATCTAATGAAAATGTAGTATAGCCAAATGAGGGCCCAGTGGATGTAGCAGATATAAGGTAAGGATGAATGAGGGCCTTAAAAAAAGGAAGTAATAGTACTAAGATTGATCATAATTAATTATAGTCAGTGACACAGACTGTGGCAGGGTGACTGAATGTGTGTGGGAGGGAGGGGCTGATGAGACAGCATCAGTGTGTGGGGGACAGATTGTATGTGATAAGGCTGTATTTCCCTGGTCAGCCTCTCCATACAGTGCTCATTTTTCTTTTTTTTTCAGTTGAAATCACCTCCTGATTACCTGTTTTCAGCAAGAGAAGCTCTGGTCTTTATTTCCTGGTGCCCATTGGGTGGTCAGGTGGGCTTCCTGTGGAATCTGCCCATTGAGAACAGACCGCTCAGAATGTCTCCTTTTGGTCTCTGACTGGGAGGGCTCTCTTTCAGAGAGATGCTCTCAGCCAAAGGGCATACTGTAGAGTACGCAGCACAGTGCTGTGGATATCCCTGCTGGCCTGTGCTGCCCACGGGGACTGCGGGGGAGTTTAGCAGAGCTAGCGCTTGAAAGGTAGGACTTGTCCAATGGCTGGACTGATAGCAAAGCCAGCAGTACCTTAGAAGCGCTGGCTCTGCTACGCTAATTTGTAATAATCTAATTTAATTTGCAATTATTGTAATTGTGTATAATTGCATATGCAGGTTTTGGGTGCAGACCTGGCACTCAAGTATACACAAGTGCTGTGTTAAAGGAATTAAAGGGTTACTACAACCCTATTTATTAAAGAAGCTTTTCTGATGGAGAAGTATTGATTCTAGGAACATATGCACAGGCCAGTGTTTGCATTCAAGAGTGGCAAGATGGACTTTCACTCAGCTCATGGAAGAGTGGCAAGATGGACTTTCACTCAACTCATGGAAGAGTGGCAAGATGAGCTGAGTGAAAGTTTGTCTTGTCACTATAGCTCTTATACCTCTTGGCAAAAAGCAGAATAGAGCAGAGAAAGGAAGTAGGAAGTGTGAATAGCAAAGAAGATGTGGACCACGGGAAAAAAGCTGAAACACTGCACGTTGCTTTCTTCATGACCACAAGCAGAAGTGGTCATAGAGGTAGCAGTAACCCGTTGGAGTTACCTGTTCTCCTCCCCTAAATTCATGTGTACTGTAAGTAAAGGAGGAGGAAGGCAACTATTCATATTATTTTTCTGTGTGTGAGCAACAGTATGTATATATATATATATATATATATATATATATATACTGATATGCGTATATCTATGTGTGTTAATGCATGAGAGATTAGTGTGTGTATGAGACATCATGTCTTTGAGAGAGAGAGTGTGTTTGTGAGAGAGAATATGTGTAACTGTGAGTGTATGTAAGTTAGTATGAAACTGTAGGTGTGTGTTCTTATGTATGTGTCACAATTTGTGGTTAATTGAGTGAGTATGTCTAGTTTTGAGAGTCAGGCTAATTAAACATGGTTTGAATATATTCGTGTGACGAATTAAAAGTATATTTTTGTTTTGACTAAGTATATTTTTGTTTTAATTGTGTGACGAATTAAAAGATTTTTGTTTTTTGTGAGCACTGTATGGAGGCACATAAACTTAGCTGGGCCTAGGGCTGATAAAAACTTAATACTACACTAATACTTGTAAGTACTCATTTATGTCCTGAATTACATCTACATATACTTTAATACATTTTAAAATATATTGGGCGTAATGCATTTAAAATGCTGCGTTAATTTCTTTAAGCTATTTTTCTGACACTTTTCCTGTTCGCTCCTATTTATTCTTGTATTTGCTCCAAAATAATTCTTACTGAACACCTTCTTTCATTTTATTTTATTTATTTTTGAATCTTTTCTTTTGAGTCACAAGTGTTCTTCTTCCAATGTACAAACAAAGAGGTGCAAAAATTACCCTTTTATTTCTGCCCAATTTATCTGCCACGTTCAAAGTGGCTACTTTTTTCGAAAAGGTGAGTAGCTTTTACATTCTTCCTTTTAGTTCAAGGAATAAAATAAATCCTTCAAATTGTGTTTCATTTCCTAGTAATATTGCACATTTATTTTATTTTGTGATGCAATCAGTGGTCAATCGTCACTGAAAAAAGAAGCAATACATCTGAATAAAGCCACCAATGTATTAAGGGTAGAGTAACAGTTTTGCGGGATACTTACATGAATGGTAATATATCAAATAATACATTTATACCACAATGACTGTACTTAAGCTAGGAAACCTTTCCTTAAAAGCCATGGCTCATTTTTAAATGATCATATTAAAAATGCTGATATTCTTCAGGAGTAAAATTCTAAATGTAGCAATTTTAGACATACCTGCAGGATATTTTTTCCACCTCTGCAAGTCTTCTTTATAATAGGGGAAACCTTTTTTATATGACTCAATTCAATGTGTATTCAGTAATTCTGCATAACAAAACACATATTTGATGCAAAACTCTGCAAGTAAAAGAGGTCATATTGTTACTCTTTTTATTTTTATTTATTTTTTACCTTTTATTAATCTGTATTTCTTTCATACAGGATGGATGTACTTAACCTCCTCAAAACCTTTTTCATATTATCATTATAGTAAACCTCACTATATCATTCACGGCTTGTGATGATATGAGGGATATGGCCCTCTTTTGCAGTCCTACTGAGGTCTATAAAAATGAATAGCCTTTTTGTAAATCAATGCATGACATCAGCATT